TCCACCAACCTTAGCCTCTGCGCAATCCTTTAAAAATCAATAGATCTTTTCAAAATGGAAACTGAAGGATAAGTTTCTGAGCCAGGATTTTAAGTAGTGGCCCTTTGTGACAAGGGTGCAAATAACAACATTGGAAAAGATACGTACCCACTGCAGTGGTGCAGTAAGTGAATTGTGGTGTGGCCCTTTGTGAGATGAGGTTTCAGGTGCAGAATAGAGCGAAGCCCATAGACAAGTTAGCATGCAGTGTTTCACCAAGCGCATTTTCAGGTCCAGTCATCTTTCGCAATCCGTGACATTCTATAGAGGTTACACCAACAGGAAGCAGCCCTTATCAGTGGCCCGGCTTTGTTTTGAAGACATATTAATAGGATTTTTGTAGACGTTGATGATCGAGGAGCAGATAGAATGTTATAAGAAAGTCCTGAGAAAAGGAGTAGTTCCCCACACCATTTTTTTTCCCCATAGACAAGCTTGTGATTCATGCTTCGATGGCCATTAGAAGTAGGAAGCAAAATAAAACGGCAAACAAAAGTATTTGCGTTGGGAGAATGAAAGGTAGATATGGCAACAACTAAAGAAATAAAAGCTATTTTACGAGCAGAGAGAGAAGGGAAACGTGAGTATTTCCTCCTCGGCCCCAGGGCAGGTGAGTAAACCCAAGAGGCAATAAGAACAGCCGGCAACAGCAGCGTTTTATAGCAGCATTGAAACCAGCTGTGCTGCCCACCAGCTCCTCCCACCACGTCCCACAAAGCCCGTGTAGCCAGAACGCCCCATTAGATGGCAGCCGTGCTCCACAGAACAGCGGCCAGCCCGCAGCTCCCGAAAAAAAAATCCCTTACCTACGCTGATTTAGTTTCCTCACACAGCATCACTTCAATGAATTGATTTCCCATTCTCTCAGTATGCAAAGTTTAGGCTCTGTTTATACTGCAATCACTTTTTCGATCTCAGCTCATAATCATATACGCCTTGCTGGCATTGGAAATGCGGTCGAGATGCTGACAGCAGTATCCCTGCACTGACTTCACCTCCTTTTCAGAGCACTGATCTCTGTTCTGCTATAGACACGTGCCCATCGTTCCCTCGGCTCCCTGGCTGGCAGCTAGCTTAGGCATGAGCTGAGCTGGTGGCAAGCACTGCTGCATACACAAATCCTTAAAGAACCTGTTATCAGCAAGAGTATAGTCCAGGCATCAAAAAAACATTGCAAAACGAGCCTTTCTACCATGGAAAGTAGACTGGGAGCTGTTCCTTTAGGTTCAAGGATATGCAGTTTAAAACACTGAAAATACCCAGGGAATGCAGTAAGCTCTTTTCTAGTTACTGAGTCATGCATTAGGCTCTATGCCATCAACATTTTACTCTTCAACAGTGAATGTTTATTGACTGAAAGAAATGAAGAGATTTTCCCAGCTGAAATTTCCATACAGTCATAAGGCTGCATGAGTAGAAGCTTTAAGGAAAGCATTTAGTATCCCGAGACTGGAAAGCCAGCAAATAGTGAAAATAAACAACTGCAAGTAACCAAGGAGGTTGCAGGAATTGATGCAAAGGAAAAAAGCTCACAGGGTCAGATAGGAAAAGAGAGGTTAGTGGAGGCTGGGAGGAGGGCCTATGTGCACAGACACATTTCTCTAAGTTAAAAAGGACAGAAGTGAGAGAAAAACACTGTGAGAGGAAGAAATGTGAGATTTGGAAAGAAGCATGAGAGTTGCAGGTTCTGCTGATTGCCATTTCTATGCACCATATCTTATTTCAGTAGGTGAATTGCCCATGCTATTAGCATTACATGATCAGATTGAACACCAGTCTATTTACCTGCTCCCAGTACTTATTTGGTGCTTTTATTGCTTATCTCAATCATAGATCTTCTTTCTTTTAAAGATTGGCAGTTGACTCTTCCATAACAAAATGTTGCCTTCTCAGTTCTGAGTACAAAGGCTACTTCTGATCGTCTACAGTTGCACACTCAGTGCAACTTTTTAGTAAGTTCTTGTTTATTTCAGTTTAACCATTTCTATTTCTGTGCAAGTTACCTTCTAAAGCTCATGGGAAAAGGAACAGTGTGTGTTCTTTCAAGATCTCATTTAGATTTTTATGTATACAAGTTTAAGCTTGTAGGTTTTTTCTTTACACCCATAATTGAAATGTGCTGAACTTTACTCCTGCAGACTCCCATAGCAATATATTTTAGTCCATTCCATCAATCTCCAATACAACCAAGAAAATTGAAAATGCAGATTTAGTCTTGAATCACTTTTCTCCCTCTACTGGACACTCACGGCTGTAATATATGAAAAAAAGTTATAATTTGGACATAAGTGCTTCAAGTTTCATATCTCTAAATCAGAATGCTTAACATGAAACTGCCTCTTTTATTCTTGGATCTCATTAGCATGGGTTTGAGTGGCTTAATCAGGTCTTTAGCGTCTGTCATACAGTGTTTGTCACTGACCACAAACTGCATTTTCAACTAATAAGAATGAAAAGTTCCTGGTGTTAGAATTCTAATTATGGTTAAAACTAAAGGCCGATGATGTATAGGAAGAAATGGAATTATTTCAACAGATTTGAAGCTAACTGCTTGCTGCAAGTTTTTCTCATTAGAAAAAGCATAGCAGGAACAGGGTGATACTGAACTGTAATCATATGTAAACCATCTGGTGCTAGAGATGTGAATTCTACAGTACTTGAGAAACAAGTGAACAAGGTATGCAGAAGACTTGTGTGAGTTTCACACAAGTGATTGATCTGCATTTTTATTACTTAATTTCTCATTTCTTTTTAGGGCCCAACATCACATCCAGCCAAATCAATAGAAAAACTGTCCTGTGTTTAGAATGGACGTGGCACTAATAATGAAACAGACCTCACAAGTCAGCAGCACTAAGTAGAATAGCATGCCTCTTCCGTCTTCTTTCAGTCCATGACTTCCTTCTATGCTTGACAAACATGGGCTGTTCTAGAGAACAACAGAGATATATTGTTCTTGCTTCCTGTATGGTGATGTAAGAGCAATGCTGAATGGATTAACACTGATTCTGCATTTTGTGGAAAACTACTTTATTTAGGAAAACATTCATTGTCGTTCTGACCGGAGCGAGAAACAATAACCTACTGTATATTGCAGATTAGCAAATATTAACTTTCCCCTTTAAATTAGTCTTTCGTTTGCTCGTCATCTTCCCACCCCGTTTACCCATTCCTTATCAGCAGAAGCAAATGCCAGGCATATCTCATTGAAAATGGGAACTGATCGACGCAAACAGAGTTCCCGAAGGTACTGTGATGACTAATTTTTCCTAACAATTCCAGAATTTATCCTTGTCCTACAGAAGTCATAGAAATCAGTGATACAGGAACAGGCACCAGGCACCATGCCAGCAAGTTGCTTAGTCCCAACAAGATCCACTTCATAAGGATGGACCTATTGATATGACACAAACATTAATAATGCACAGTGCTATGTTGTTCCATGCTGCAGTGAGGAGAGTGTCAGTCTGTTTTCTCAGGTGAAAAGCGATAGAACATGAGGAAACCATCTCAAGTTGCACCAGGAGATGTTTAGACTGGATACTGGGGAAAAATTCCTTCACAGAGAGAATGGTCAAGCATTGGAATGGGCTGCTCAGGGAAGCAGTGGAGTCACTGTCTCTAAGGTCATAGAATGGCTTAGCTTAGAGGGGCCTTAAAGATGGTGAAGATCCACCACTTCTGCCAAGGGTAGGGTTAGCACCATCCACTGGTTCAGGCTGCTCAGGGCCTCATCCATCCTGGTCTTAAATGCCTCCAGGGATGAGGTATATGCAGCTTCTCTGGGGAACCTGTTCCAGTGCCTCACCATCCTCTGAGTAAAGAATTACTTCCTAACATCCCCTTTTAGCTTAGAGCAACCCCCTCTTGTCCTATCTCACAATCAGACTGTGTAAAAATTCAGTCCCCCTCCTGCTTATAAGCTCTCTTCAAGTACTGGAAGGCCACAATGAGGAGCCTTCCCTTCTCCATGCTGAACAAGCTTAGCTCCCTCAGCCAGCACTTTATAGGGGTGGGGCTCCAGCGCTCTGGTCATTTTCAAGGCCCTCCTCTGGACCTGCTCCAATAGCTCCATATCTTTCTTACGCAGAGGGCCCCAAGCCTGGACACAGTACTCCAGACAACAGACCAGAAGGTGACTGTCACCTCCCTTGCCCTATGGCCACCCCTTTTTTGACGCAGCCATGCCCTACCAGGGCTCAGGGTTACCAAACCCAGTGCTCCCTTCAGCACTCACAAGCATCACGCTTGCTGCCAGGCCCCACTGCCAGTCACTGCATCCTTGGGAGAGAAGGAACAAAAACAGTCCCTAGCTAAACAGCAAAAGCCCCTTCAGCTTTCAGGAGCACAAGACGAGGTCGTTGCCCGCCACTTCGTTTTATGCAAAAACGGGCTTGTCTGGATCAAAACACGTCTGCTGGTGAAAGCACGCTTTAAAATCTCAGGCAAGCCAGGACCCGTTCCATCCTGGTGGCTGCCGACTAACCGGCACCCCCAGCTCAGAGCGCTGCCGGCAACACACCAGAAGACGGAGCCGGCCGGCTTTTCCGAGACCATTAAGCAGAGCGACGCGGGGTGCTGCCAGCCGTTGCCCCATCCCCGCCGCGGGCCGGGAACCAGACGCGCAGCGCATCCGCAACGGGCAGCGGTCCTCGCCCTGACCCGGGCGTCCCAGCGGAGCTCCCCTCACACACCCGACACTCCATCCCAGTGCACAGCCCGGCGGCCGCTGCTGCCTTATTTCTGGCCGGAGGCGGGCCCGGAAGGAGGAGCGCGGTGCGGGGCCGCCCCCGCCCGAGCCGCGGGTAGAGCTGTGCAGCTGTCGCTCGACTAAATCGGGGGCGCCTGAGAGCAGTCCCACAAGTGGTTCCTGCCCGCGAGCGAGTCGGACCCGGCGGCCGGAGGGAGGGCGAGCTGCCGGCTGCGCGGAGGAGAGGAGGCGGGCTACGGGGGGCCGCTCGCCAGGTGGTCCCTACAGGTGCGGGGGAGAAGGGAGCGGCGCGCCATGGTGCGGGCGGTGGGCGCCGCGGGAGACTGCGCTCGTCTCCTCGCCCCCGGCCGCCGGTGTTAGGCTCCGCGAGGCAGCGCCTCGCCCCGGCCCGGCCGCCGCTCCCCTCCGGCAGCTCGGCAGCAGCGTGCGGGGATCGCTCGAGGCGAAAAGACGCGGCATGGCAGCCGCCTGACCCCGGCCGCCAGAACAGAGCCCGGGACGCGCCGCGGTGGCGGCTCCGCAGGGATGAACGACGGCGGCGAGGGGATCATCAGCTTCGCGGTGCCCGGCCCTCCGGGCGGCGGCGAGGAGGGGCTCGGCCGGCGGGCGCAAGGAGCCGACGGCGGCCGCGGCTTCCAGCCCGAGTTGGCCTCGCCGTGGGGCGAGGACGCGGCCGTCGCTTGCCCCGCCGCCGGCACGGGCATCGCGGCGCGGGCCAAGGGCGCCGGGCGGCGGACGGCCGTCACCTACGTGATCAACGAGGCGAGCCAGGGACCGCTGCTGGCGGCGGAGAGCGGCGCCCTGCAGAGCCTGCGGGAGGCGTGCGAGGTGGTGGGGGCCACGCTGGAGACGCTGCACTTCGGCAAGCTGGACTTCGGCGAGACGGCCGTGCTGGACCGCTTCTACAACGCAGGTGAGACCGCGCCGCCGCGCCCTTCCTGCCGGGGCTTATCGCCTAGCCGCTTCCCGGGCCGTCCGCGCAGCTCCGGTCGAGCCGAGGCGCGGCCCCGCGCCGCCCTCCGGCGAGAGAGGCTGGGTCCGGGCGGGCGGCACCGGGCGCCGTCCCCTCGCTGTGCCCCGCGGCGCCGGAGCTGAGCAGCGCCCTGCGAGCGGCCGCGGCTCTCACGTCGGGAAGTAGAAGTGTGTCAGATCCTCTTTCTGTCCCCCGCTGACCCCGTTAGGAGAGGAAGCTGTCAGCGAGCGCGCTGTGAGCGTGCGGCCGTTGGCGCTGCCGGCACTGGTGGCTTGTGCCAGTGGGTCAGAAATGAGCTTCACCGCGGCAGAGTGCCGGGATGCGCGTTTTTGCTGAAACGCTGTGGGTGAAGCGGGTGGGAGCTGCGAGGCCCCGGCAGCTCGGAGAAGCAGACAGGGCGTGCAGCTCGGCGGCCGTGCTGCTGGCACAGGGGTTGGTTCCTCTGTCTCTCCGTGCTGGCAAGTTTGTGCTTCGGATATTGGCTGCAATAAAACACTTAGGATGGATGATAGATTAGCGTGAGTGCCCCGCGCCGTGTCTTGTCGCCCTGCCTGCTTTCGTGGCGGTAACGTGGTAACAGCCTCGTCTCAAGGCACTGTGATCTGAGCTGGTGTGTTGTGATCCACCTGAGCCCATGTTTAGAAACGAGAGCTCAAAACTTCCTCTTGCTTTTAAGTTTTTTAATTAGTAGATATATATGTAGAAAAAAAAAACAAAACCAACTTACTAAAGGTTTCGTAAGACTAAAACTACATAAATGCCCTTTTATCATAAAAAATAAAAATACAAGCAGGAATTTGACTCGACCTGCAATTTTAAGCTTATTTTTTGGTATGCTTCTGTGTGTAAGAAATACTCTGGCAAATGAGCACTTAAAAAATTCTGGCTGATACTGCAGCTTTATGCATTTCCTGTAGAGAAGAGGAGAGCCAAAAAAAAAAAGAAGGAAGTACCTGCACTCAGGCCCTGTGCACACAGGACTGCCCAGCATGGACATGCACATGCATGCCATTTCCCTGGAACACTTAAAGCTTTGCCTGAGCTGCTGTTCAGGTCCAGGAGGTGGATGGCTTCGAAGCACAAAGTCGCGTCTTGCCTTGTAGCTCTTGCACAACTGTCTGGAGAGGTGAAGCTCTCAAAGGTCAGAGGAGCTGTGTCACAGCTGGAGATAGGAGGGACACAGAGCTTTAGCATAGATCCTATTCTCCTTGCATACGAATGAGATACAGGACACGTGAAACCTGAGAGTCTCACCTGGTTCCTGTTCCATCCATCACTGGAGCTGTATCACAGTGAGGCTCACAGAGCTAAATGATCTGTGATGCTGTACCTCCTGTGTTTGTTAATCTCTAGTCTGAGCCGTACAATAGGCGGGGTCTTGGTAGCGCACAGAGGCTTTTCTTGTGATGGAGCTTGGACTCAAAGTGGGCCCCTTTTCCTTCTGGCAGTAGGCGTCTGGCGTATGGTGCTACATAGCTGCACACTTATGTCATAGAACTGCCTATTCCAATGGCTTTCGAGCAAACTCTCTGAAGGTGAAAACTTGTTCGTTCAGTACTGTTTGGTTATGGTAATATAATGTTACTATTGCAAAACAGGAAAATTACCTTGCTCTTCTACATTGGTAGCAAAGCTGTAAATGTGTGAAAAAACAGGAGACGTCCAGCTCCTGGACTAAGCACAGGACATAGGAGTTTGCATCTGCTCCCACTGTGTTCTGTCCTGTCCAAGCTGTGATCCAGAATTGATGCCGTGCTGAAGCTGTGAGCCAGAGCTGATGTTTAGAAGGATCTGAGCTTTCATGCTTGTCAGAACATATGTAAAATTAATTGTTCTCCAGAAAAATAAAACTAGCAAAAAAATTAATAATAATAATAATAAAGTTCCTAGGCTAGGAACGGAACAGTGTTACAATGTAAAAGCCCTGTAAAGTGAAAAACACAAATGAAGAGCCAGTATGGGGAACAAAACTAAAATGGTTGTGAGGAGTGTAATTATTTCACGGTTTTATTTTGTTGTTGTTTTCATTGCCTTAACTGGGCTGTGTGGGAGAAAGCATTTGTAGATGTCAGGTACGTGTAAAGTCCTTTCTTATTTCCCTTCTCATCCTCTCTGTTGCTGTGTGCTTTCAGCAGTGAAAAGTGTTGTTAATAAAGGTAAAGAATGTCTGCACACTCCGCAATTTTAAGAAACCATGGTGCATTAAAATAGTTCAGCATAGCTGAATATCAAGTAAGAATGTAACAGTAAAAATACTTTCAATTCAGGTAATGGCCAGTTGGTTTTACTCAAGGTACCAAGTTTTACCCGACTCAGTGTAAAGGCCAGTGAAGTCATGCGAGAAAGGAATGATATGATTGGATGGAGATTTGGAAAGTCAGGCTTATTGCTATGTTTAATTGCAGTAGGACAACAAATCTCTCAAGTCTTGTGATGTGTACAAACCAAATGTGCTTTGCGGGAGGAGGATGGAGGTCATAGGTGTGGTGTAACATCTCTATCCATTGTCAGGCCTTCCCTTCTTTTATGTCTTGTTTGTACTTTGTTTAATGTAGTCTGAACTTGTGGTGATCTCTGGCAGAGGCTCACTTCATGCCTTTCACTGCTTCAAAGGGAACTTCAGGAAGTATTAAATAAAATGTAATCTGAGATGTAAATACTCATCATCCCTTCTAAATTTGGATTAGCCATCTAATAATCTTCTTCTGCTGGCTTCAGTCAACTGATGGTGCTTAAATGCTGAGACATAATTAGCAACGTGTGTGACCAGTCTTAGCTATGTATATTATTTGAACCAAATATTAAGAATGAGTCTATTGTAGCATTTTGCCTTACTTGATTGCAAAGAAATTGTGCTTTAAAAAAAAAAAAAAGAAAAACCCAACAACAACAAAAAACCTACCTCTTGAGAAGCAAACGTTGAATCAACTGTAGTAATTGTTGAAACATTTCATACATTTCCTCTTTTCAGTGATAGTAAGGGAGAAAAGGAAAATGTAGTCCAATTTCTGGCAGTACTCGGTGTGTCTGGAGTTGGCTAGCTGTCTCAAGGGCTGGTTTCCTCCTTAAAGTGGATACTTCCACCCATCCTCCCCCCAGATGTGAGTTGTATTGAGCTGCTGCAATAGGATTGAAGCTGAATCGCGTGTTTCTCTTAAGTTCAGCTTTATTTCTGAACAATTCAAGAATGTTTATAGAGTTGGTTAGAGGTGCACCAATGTGTAGTAGAGAAACTAACCACTACACTGTGTTCTGAATGTTTATGTACATTACTTTTTGTTGTTAAAGGATGTTTTTTTCTCCACTGTAATGACATCATCTGCATATCCTGTTGTTATTTATTGCTGGGTTAATTTTGAAAACTGAGCCATAAGTGAATATGAACTACTTAAAGTTTCTTTGAGTTTACATAAGCAATTCATTTTTTTCTACCATGTTTTTTTAGGCAACTGAAATTAGGATGGTTTTATTTATTCATTTATTTTTATTGGAAATTTTTCTTACTTTGACGTAATTCGTACTTTTTTCTTTTTAAGATACTCACATTGACTACTTCTGTGCATGCTTAGAGAGATCATTTGTTCAGTGTTTTCAGGCATGCGCTTCTCTTCCGTGTCTAATCTATAAGTTTAGGCTACAGAGTGAAGATGTAAAATTAATTTTTTGGAGTGATTTATCAGAATTACAGTGTCTAGCATTCTGAACTCTGTATACAGTCTCTGGACTGAGGAGAATCTGGATTTTCTAATCTCTGTGGTTGCTTGTTTTAAGATGGCTTTGAAGCTAAGCAACTTGACTTGTCTCACAATTATCTCCTTGTGTCTATAATGTTGTGTTATACAAGGGCACTTCTTTTTTCCTTGGCTTCTTATGGTCAGGTTTCATGGATCAGTGGTCCTTGTTACATGATTTGTACTGACACTGCTGTACAGGGATATTGAGATAATTCACCATAATAGCAATGATTAACTAAAACAGAGTTCATCAAATAAAAGCAAATGGATTTAGCTGATTGTTGTTTCTGGAACTCAGTGTTGCTACTTTCAGAATTCATGCAGGCTTGGACTAGGGATTTTCAGTGTCAGCTCACCAGGCTTAAAAATGTACTGTGCAGTATGCCTGGGGGAAGTCTTAGCAAACAGAATGAGAAAACTTTCTGAGAGCCAGTACAGTCACTTGTGTGAAGGTGAACCTTTAAGTCAGCTGCTTGAAACAAGAACACTTGTTTTGAAAAGAATTCCTCTTTTAAGAGGAGTGTTTGCATCAATGTGTAACAATGACAAAATACCCAGGAAACTTATGTTAAGCCATAAATCACTTTAAAAACAACATAATGGAATCTAGAGTATCTACAGGAAAAATAGTCCTCCTACTGCTTTACTTCATTTTTGTGGGCCTGTATATTTATAAACATTTACAATCCACGCAAGCTCTGTAAAGTATGAAGAAAAAGTCTGGGCGTAGAACATCCTTGTGTAAAGGTTCACCTGGTTCAAGTATCCTGGGTATTTTGTGATTGTTGCACACTGATGCAAACACTCCTCTTAACAGAGGAATTCTTTTCAAAGCAAGTGTTCTTGTTTCAAGCAGTTGACTTAAATATTTTCTCCAATTAAAAATAAGAGCCAACTTGCTACCATGTGAACTCTGTAAAGGAGCTGGAAAAGTAGGGCCACTGAGAGCCAGAGACTAACTGCAAGTTGTATTCTATTCCACGTTGTCTCTCAGAACAATTAGCTTCTTCCGCATCTTACTTGCTGTACTTCCTGACTGTTATTTTTTTGTTTCACTTCTCTGAGTTTCATCAGTCACTTCAAATGCCATGTATTCATTCTCTGATTATTCAGCACTTGCATCCATCACGTAACTTGCTGTTTGGACACTCCCCTCGGTGCTGCTGAATAACCACAACTCTATCTGGAGCATCGCGTCTGGGAAGT